TAAAATAATAAATTACATAATTCTTTATGCATGCATATCTGCCTTATGATTATAAAGTACCAAACATATATTAGCCTATTAAGATAGCCTTATTAATGACTAACAGTATTTCTTTTTTCCTAGTGCTAATAATTTGTGTTGAATTCTAGCCATTAGCTTAATTAACTTCTCAAATCATTTTATATTCTTACTATCTTCTACCATTTTTCAACTAATTAAAAACTACAAAAGTCTCAGCAATGCCGGCAAAATACAAAAAGTAAAATTATGCTGATCTTACCAGCAGAAATGGACTGTGGTACTTGTTAAAGGGTGAAAAGCCTGAATTATTAAGAATAGGGCTTTTTTTAAAAAAAAAAAAAAAAAAAAAAGTCTGTGGATTTCATGAACAAATATCTCTTGGTCTCTAGAGACAAATATGCACAAATCTAGAAAGCCTAGTAGGTAGCTGTGGTGGTGCTAAGCCCAAAGGCTTAGAGAATGAGAATGTCCCGATAGGAGGCTGAACGTTTTGTCTCCAGTTAGTGGGGCTGTTTTGGGAGGTCTTAGAATGTGTGGCCTTGCTGGAGGACACTGGGGAAGGGCTTAGAGAGTTCCTAAACCTTCCCAGATTACCAGTCACTCTCTGCTTCCTGTGCCTACTTAAGAAGTGAGTGCTCCTCCTTCTGTTCTAGCCACATCCTGCCACCATGCCTCCCTGCCAAGGTGAATTCTTGATTCCTCTGGAACCTAAGCTCAAATAAACTCTTCCTTCTATAAGTTGCTTTGGTCAGTGTTTTTATCACAGCAATAGAAAAGGTAACTAATACAGTAGCACATTATTTTAAAAAGCTGTTTCTCATGTATTATTTTATTTGTGTCTCACAATAAACCATGTGAAAGGTTTCTCAGGTGCTGAAAATGCTGGTGATAGAGTGTCTGCCCTGCCGAAGGTGGTACAGGTGAGCAGCAAGAACATCATGCCCTCTTCTGAGTCTCTGTAGTGTCAGTTTCACACTCTTAACAACTTTGCTCCATGGCAGAATAATCCATGCACTGTATCCATTCACTGAAAATCAGTTACTCGCGGCCTCTGAAAGTTTTCTCACTGAGTCTTTTGCTTTTCTGTGGTCTTTAGCAATTATC